GAGAGAGAGAGAGAGGCAGAGGGGCAATATTGTTTAAATTCGGGGATAATGGCTCATATTTTCAGAGCTCATCCCACAACAATTCTGCTGGACAAATCTCAGAGCATCCCACCCCTCCCTCTCCTTCAGTGACCTCTGACCTGCTCCATCATCCCACCATGATAGAGGAGGCACATTACGACAGCAACGCTTCCTGGTTTGTTAGCAGGTGCACAAAGCAGCAGGGCAAGCAGCAACATGCTTATCTGCGTCCCCTGTTAAATATCCCCATTCAAATGATCCATTCTGTGACACGGCCCAGGGGCATGATGAACACCCCCCTATCCCCCAACCCCGACAAACCCTCCGCCGCTATTCAAATCAGTTCTCTGGACAGCTTCAGGTTACAGGCTGCATCCAGCTACAGGCCGACATGGCTCTGAGGGTGGAGGGGTCTGTCATTTGACCTACAGAGCTGTTTGAGTGGAGATTCCTTCCACCTTAATGCAACTCTTGGACTCACACACAGATTCCAGCTTCTCAAACATTAATATTTGCAGGTTTTATAATATTAAACTCAATACTTTTGAGTTTTGGACTGTTGGTCGGACGAAACCAACTATTTGAATGTCAACTTGGGCTTTTTTGGGGCTTTTTGGGATTCTGATGAACTGAGAAAATAATTCACAGATTAATCATTAATGAAAGTAAGCACAAGTTGCAGCCGTGATATAAATGATGATTACATGAACAGGTAGAAAATGACCAGAATGGAATAAGTGACTTTTCCATCCCCAGTTGCGCATTAAGAGGTTTCTCAGCATCCTCGTTTGCAATCCATAATCAGGAACTGTGTTGCTGAAACTGGGTGTACATATCTATCTGTGTGTACACCTGCATGTGTCACTGTGATGTAAAAATACTTGTGTGTCCTGTGTGTCGAGCTATAGATGCACACTATCTATCTATCTACAGCTCATACCCGCAAACAAACACACTCATTACACTGGCAAATTCCACATAGGATAGCAAATGGAATAATGCTGAAAAAGATAACATACTTCCTCTTAACAGGATCTACTGGCAGGTTAAAAAATACTTTTTTCATCTTCACATCATGTCAGTACTGAGATGCTATTTAGCAGCAAAACAAATAAGAAATCCTTTTTTTTAGCTGTTCCCAATTTCTTTTGCTTGTGACATTTGGGAAAATATGCTTATCACTCTTATACCTGTACAGAAAAATGAAGCTGCAGCTCCAGTAAGCTTTACGTAGTGTAAAGAGTGGCAAGCCTGACCACAGCAGCACACCAGTAACAAAATCTGCCTACCAGGAACTCTAAAGCTAACTTATTGGTTATATGAGGGATAATGCGCCAGACTATTTCTTAGGTGTTAGGCCGGGCAAGTTGTCCTGTTTCCAGTCATTATGCTAAACTAAGCTGACCGTCTCCCTGCTGGAGCTTTGTATTTAACAGAGGGATTTGAGAGTGGTATCCATCTTTTCATCTAACTCTCAGCAAGAAAGCAAATAGGTGCATTTCAAATTATTATTTTACTACAAAGCAGTGTCTATTTGCAACCAATGTCAAAGGGTGCATGTCTATGCACTATATATGCATCCATATTTTACCGGTATTCCAAAAAAGAAAAATTTCACCAAAACTAAACTTCATTTTGTGCAGCTGAAATTTGTATTTTTCTTATTTCCTACCACAGTAACCATCCCATGACAGCGCAAATGTATTTCCTGAAGCCCAGGTTTACGACTGTAAAGATGTGTGAGAATTGTAGGCTGTTTTGTCTTGGTTCATGTAAATATAGGAATTAAGATGAAGATCTAAATTGGGCAAGAATTACTTTCAACAGACCAAAACCAGCCAAGGTAATAGTGTGGCTAGCATTCCTCTCCCTGTCCCAACAAGCAAGTGTATAGGTGTGTGTGTGTGTGTGTGTGTGTGTGTGTGTGTGTGTGTCTCCCATCTACTCCAAGTCTCCCACATACCTCTGAATCTCTGCCTGGTTAGCAGGCCCAAGCTTGTCAAACACAAACCGCCTACAAGCTTCTCACACACACTCATTCAATAAGGCGTAGAAAAGCTTGGTTCAAATTCAAATCCATCAACCGAAAACAAATGACAGACAAAAGGTCAAAAGTCTTAAGATACAAATATGAGACTTCAGATCGTCCGTGGGAAACGCTGCCAGAAAGAGAAAGTTCGTCACAGTGTTTTGGATTATCAAGTTTTTTCTCACATCAGTGTTTTGCTCAATCTCACGTGCAATGTCGAGGAGATTATGGGATTTATGTTGTGTATCCCAGCAACACCTAGACATTAAGAGATTCAGGTGTGTGTGTGTGTGTGTGTGTGATGGTGGGCAGCTGAACCGCCTCAGGCAGAAAGTTGGGTGGGGGCTTGTTTGCTCTCAGTTTGGTCATGCCTTGTTTATTAGCTGAGAGCATTCCAGCAATAACATAAATCTGTCATTGTCTTTTGGTTCATGTGTTCTGATTCAGTCATTTTGCCATTGAAGAATTGCTGTTGTTCACAAATGAATATGGAGTAAGTGGTAAGTCTTACCGATGTCTAAGACTCTCTGCTTGGCTGTGTGCTGCCGAGAGTGCCAGTACTTCCAGTATTTAAGCTGCTCGTCCCGGTTCTTGTCTTCACTGAACACGACCATGATCACACTCTGAGAAGGAGAATGATGGTCAGATTTTAGATCAAGAGGATTTAACTGAACCAGCGCTAGTGGGCCCTAATATCAAAAAAACGAGCTGAAAGACACTGAAATGCTCTGTAGAACTGAGATGAACTGCAGAGTCGACTGATAATTTGCCACTATGAGCGACCCTTTTCATGTTACACATAAATACATTGTTATTGATTAGAGCAGCTTTGAAAAACATGCAGTCTTAAGGTTTGGTCATAGGTAGACTTAAGAGTGGGTAATACTGTGTATAAACTACAGCTATATTAAAATAAGGTGGGACATTAAGTAGCAGGAAAAAAATCCCCCTCACCCGGACTTTGCTGATGGGGTGACGGAGGCGTTTGTTGGCACTGAGCTCGTTGAGCGTCACAGCATAGAACTGGCCTTTGTTCAGGTAGGTCATTGGTCCTTCACCCTGTTTCTGACGCAGTGAGCGAGTGGCGTCCAGCGTGTACTGGAAGCTGTCACTGTACACACAAACACACACATAGAGAATGATGTGTGATTGGACATAACAAGGAGGGATGGGGGTACAACTCACACTTTTGCATTCCTTTCTGGATTACTTCAAGTGTTTTGATTTCAAAATGGCACATATCTTAATATTCACACTGTAACATATACAAATAATTGTGCTGCAATAGCAAGTAGACTAAGTGATCATATTCTGAGTGACTTACACTCCCTCTTGGTGAAATAAGAAGTCATCTGTAGCCAGAGAGGAAGGTGTGTGGTATTTCTGTTGAGAACACAAAAAAAACACATAGAAAGAGGAAATTATTTGGGCACAATGACAAGTTAATTTAGCATGAGAGGAACTGGTTAAACAATACTGTAAATTACAGTAAAAACACACCAACAGTTCAGCAACAGTATTGTCATTAATAAAGATCAGAGGGACAAAATGGAGATCTCAAACAAACAAGGAACAAATTCATTAACTACTTGTAGATTCCTGTTCAGGTAATGAACCTTTGGACTATCTGTCTTCACGTACCATTGCACAACAACTCCACCCTTGCATGTACTGTTAAAGATCACAAGCATGCGACACTCTGTATTCTAGTGCTGCAATTTCCCTTTTATTTGTCCGATCATTCGTTCAGCTGCAGTTTGTACATGTAGATTGGGAAGCTGATGAAGATGCAAAAGAACAATAATAGAAAAAGAGCGTCAGCTGAGCCTCTTTCTAAAAATATATCTTGTGACTGCTGTGACACCAAAATTGAAAGAATATCTAATTGTGATATGTATATCTACTAGGTTTTCATCTGCAGGACTGAAAGAAAATATGGCATCAACGAACTAGGGCCAGAAATGTAGGAATGGACATTTTCAACAGTAGTAGTGAGTTGTAAGACAGTGGTACCCAACCCTTTTAGTGGCAAGACCCCTGGAAAAACATGCAATCCCTTGACACAAGTTTAATACATCTGTGCTAAGTTATTTCCCCTCCTGAAGTTCTTAATCTGAATCACAAAGAAAAATAAACATATCTTTTTCCACATTCATCTTTGGTAACTGCTGTTTTAAGGTGTGTTTTTCCTTTAATAACACAGTATCTATTCACTCCCTGGCGTCTTTTCTCACCCCATCTCTCGCCTCTTCATACGGGCTGTCAGGCGGACTCTGTTGATCTTCTTTCACATATGAGCTGTGACTAACGGTGGTCACCTCATATTGATTCTGTTCGTAGATCACCCTCCCTGACTCTTCTCCTTCCACCCTGTAGTGAAGCCCTGCTCCCGTCATGAAGACGGGTGCGTACATCTCGGCCTTCACCACAGCGACAGCTGGCGAGCCTCCATCCCCTGACGCCGCCCCAGTCGAGCTGCTAAACTGCTCCCGTTTGTTCTCCTGGTGCTCCGTGTTTAGTGACAGGTTGACGGGAACAGATTTAAGGACCTGAACACGGTTGTCCACTGTCTCCACCTCGCTTTGGTTGCTGGGGTTGCTCGGCAACGTAGACCTGAACAAACATATGGATGAAATAATAGTTGGGATGTATTTCTGCTCTTTGTTTTTTAATTACTTTCCAATGTAACTGTATTTAGCATTCTAAATTAATTGCATGCTTCTGTAGGCTGCAAAAACCACCCAGCAATGTGAACTACTAGTTTTGTGCTACTTACTGTGCTACTACCTCTGGATGTAAATAAACGCTCCTTAAGGCCAAAAGCTGACATCTATATATAAAAAAAGCAGGTATAAAACAGGTTAAGCTTTTTTGGACATGCAGATCTTAAACTAATTAAATAAACAAAAACATGATTCTTTTATGATGTTGTTGACTGATTCTTTTTCAGACCTCACACATTTGGCTTTGATTTCACTTTATAATAATAATAATAGGAAACAGAGGCATGAAGGGCGTAAAAAACATTACTGAAGCTTAATACAACTGTTAAGCAAACAACCGTTTAGAAAACTTAAAGCCACCCTGTGGAGTTTTTGACCACTAATAGTGCTATAGAGCAGCTTTTTTATGAGTCGCTCCCTGTTTTGCTTGTTTCAGCAAGGACAGGAAAGAAGAAACTAGAAAACATAGATGTAAATTTAAAAAAAAAAAAAAACGTCTTTGCAAATATTTAATGAGGATGGAAATGCATTCAACATGTTTATTAGACCTCAAGGTAAATATAACTTCTGTTTAGTTACAATGGAACTCCTGGGTGCCTGTAATTATTTTAAGATTTACATGTATGAAAATCTTGTTTTTACACCTGCTTTTATTTTGAGATTCATATCAGTGTTGGTGCCGGATCATACAGGCGAGAAAATATTGGCAACAGGCAAAAGAAATGTAATGATTACTCTTCTATCCAGAAACAACAGAGAGAGCAGGAGTTCTCCTATTTCAAAAGGAAAATTGGGGATGTTTACTTAAATAAAAATAAGTTACCTTTTTTCTGTAGATTAAAGGTTTTTGTTCCAAAAGTAGAGGCACATTATAAAATGAAATCTTTTGTATTTTCTCGTTTTTTCTGCAGGGATCAGCAGGTTTTAGTTTGCCCCGCTCGAGCCTGTGTTTGTTTCATTCAGTATTGGTGCTTCAGGTGAAACAGGACTCACTTGTCCGTGATATTTGCACACATGCACACTTGAAGTACCTGTTTCATGTCACTATTATCTTCACTACACATCTTTGTAATGTTACGGAGGATTGTGTTTTAGTTCTTAGACTGAAAGCTTTTCATATTAAACTGTTTTATATGTAGTCATATTAACCAGAGGTGTTAAATACTACAGTTACTGAACTCCGGGTATTTAATTCCACACATTGCTGGGAACGGTCTGCTAGCAACTACATGTTTAGCATTTTTTCTACGTCTTTCTGTCTGTACATGTGCAACCCTGAGCGACACACTGAGAGACCCACATTCACTGACCTCTTCTCCTGCTCCTCTATCATTTCAGCGACTTTGGGAACTGGCAGAAGCCTCTTTTCTTTGGGCACCTGGAAGAAGAAAAGAAGGACGTTTTACGTTGGCCGACATCATTCAGAGCTAACAGGGGAGTTATGGCTTCCAATCTTTACTTGACCTTTGTTTTTTCTATTCCTGAACACGACATAGAAAGTCAGAATGTGTTGGATGAGTGACTTGTGTCTCCACAATTCAGTAGATAATAGCCTCTGGTCTCTGCACAATGTATTTTTTGCATTGTTGTAGTTAGAAATAACATTCAGTGTGATGTGAATTCCTTTGCTGGACTTATACTGACTGATACAATGCATTGAGCTTATGAATTTAGACTTTTACACAGTTGTCTTTATTGAGGAATCTATAGAAGATTAAATTAATATGCTATTATATGACGAATTAATGTGACATTCAATTATTTTTCTGTGCTCTTTGTACTTTTTAATTTAGGGGTCTCAGCTGAGAAAGGCCCTGTGCATCAACATCCAAATATTTTTAACATTTTATTTAAGATCAACATTAGTTCATCTTCTTTAAACCTACTACAAGGAGTTTTAAACTGGTTCTAAAACAGTTTAAATTTTATAATGATGCTGTCAGAAAATAGTACAATAAAGAATTATGTTATAGTTTCTCATAGCCCAAGGTGACATCTTCATATGTCTTGTTTTGTCTGACCACCAGTTTATTATCATATACAACAAAGAAAAGCATCAAATCCTCACATTTGAAAAGCGGGAACCAGCAAATGTTTTGGATGTCTGGTTAAAATTCGACTATATTTCCAGACCTTGTAGTAGTCGTAGAGCAGGCCCAGGGCGTTGGCGCTGTCCTCGTCCCCGTTGATGCTCATCATGGCCTTGGTGGCGGCTGTCAGCGGGTTCTCCAGGTACGATCTCCATGCCTCGTCCTCGCTGGTGTAGGCGCGCCGCACTGCAGGGAATGAGCTCTCGTTGGGGACCACCACCACCAGACGCTTACTGACACACATACAACATTTGAATCCAGAAGATTAGATGAGTTAATCTGCTGGTTTTAGCTTCAAAAGTGCTAAAATGTGCTTGTTTTATTCTGCTTTATTCTTTTTAAAATGATGTTTTTGTGGTTTCTGATTTAAAAAGTAACACGTCAAGTCAAAACTTTGAGATGTGCTCATTTGTCATTAATTTGAACATTTTCTAATAGAAGACATTTTAGATAAACTGATAAAAAAACACAATAGCCCTTTTCGTGCATGTGTGTACATGGGTTTGTCTCTCTACTCTTTAGGCTCACTTAAGTCAAGATCACAGACCCGTTAAACACACTGTGTTGTCACAACATCTCTTTGAACTCAGCCAATCATAAGAGCGAGGCTCTGGATGTGTCAACTGGCACATGTACAATGAATGGTATCAGCGTAATGCCCCACCTTCCCGAAAAAGTCTTGGAAATCGTAATTTATAATGTTGTAGCCTCGTATGTATGGTCACAACAAAGTGCAGGACGTTGTTTAATTGATGTAAACAAGAATTATTACTTAAGAATTTAAATCAAGGAAATCTACTGCATGCTTTGGAAGCTTGAATAGCAGATTGACAGCATCAAATAACTCATTTGTAATACTAAGGTGGTTTCTCAAATTGGCATTAACTCCTGTCAGTCAGATCTACCTGCCAAATGAAACACACCCATTTGTCCTGCCTCTCATCTGTGATGTCATACTGACGCAAATCTTTATAGAAAAAGAAGCAACGGTAGAAAAGAGGCATAAAAGATTAAGCTGGTTTACCATCACAGTGTTTATTACGTCATACAATGTTGTGCACGCTTTTTCTACCGTTGACAGAATCTTGTTCATGTCAATTGATAAGCTGCAGTCACTACAGGTGGAAATCAATCAGTTTTTCTATCATTGATCCTCCATTTATTACACATTCTGGTCAGCCTCTCCATGGCAACCACGCCTGCAGGTACAGAGCTGACATGCGGGTGGAAAAGGTATCTACAGTAGGTGATGTTTATGATTTGAACAACTCTACTCTGATGGATTTGACTAAATATTATCATTGTGTCCATAACAGTGGCAGGAAGTCATCAAGCAACCACATTTAGAGACTGTTTCATATTCAAATACAAATAACTGTATTGATGCCACAAATACTACTGCAACTACAACTAATAGCAACAATAACAGGAATAGTAGTAATGAAAATAAGTGGGTGAGTGAACCACTGCCTTATTTCAATAACAATCCAGGTCAGTTATTTAGATTATTATTAAAACAGGTATTCACATTTATAACTGTATTAAATCAATCAAAAAAAACATGTTTAAATTATTAAATTATTGGTGTTTTCTGGTCAAATTAAAATATTTTGGAATTTATATTATATAGCCTATTAAAAATTAAGCAGAGTAAAAACATTTACAATTCCTTTCTAAAAAGTTATTTAAATACTGATTGTTGTAGAAGTAGCTTTGACTGTAGCACAAAGGTTATAATGTATTTATTAAATGCAAATAAAAGAGTTTCTGGTGTTACAAAACAACACAGGAGGCCAGCAGGCAACGCAAACTGTCCCCATTCACAAGCAGGACCATCAGCGCACTGCAGGCCTCAAACAGGGAAAAATGTAATGCAATGCTAAAAGAGCTCAAACTCTCATTTTCATTCAAACATATTAAAGTGTTTAGAAAAATCCCAGTCCTTGCGCTTTGAAGGCTTTTCCATCAGTCAAAAATGGCGAATTCGGCTCTAACGAAATCCACGGCGCCAAGTTTACAACTTTTCCTCCAGGAAAACAAGTTCAATATTAATCATAAATTTCCCAAAAGTGAAATAAAACAGAAAGAGACATTATCCTCTGATACAGCCTAATTTCGTATTTAAATCAAATGTTTTTTTTTTTCTTTCTTCAAATTAGTAAGTAAAAAGAAAACACAAACAAAAAAGTGTTTTCCCTTCAAGTTGAAACCATCAAAGATCCTCTCCGCCGGCTCGATCACTTACTTGTCTGTCTCCTGTGACATATTTTGCTTCCTCTACGATTCTTCCTTGTGAAACTGGACTTTCAAGTCGGAGCAGGTAATAGAGTGAGTGAGCTGCCAGAAGTTGGGCTACAGGTAAGTCGACTTTTCTCGCCCCGCTTCTTTTCTCCCTGCCCCTCTCTCTCTCTCTCTGACTGCCTCTCCTCTACCTGGCAGGTGAAACCGCTTTTGTCCCCCAGCAGCCAATTATCGCTCTGCGGGTCTTGTGTGTTCAATATGCACAGCAGATTGTGACACACATCAGCATATCCTGCTGCCATGCATTATAATACTTGCCTTGGCTTGCTTGAATGACAAGCGGGTCAACTTTGGCTGAAATTCTTTCACTGTAAAAAAAAACAAAAAAAAAAAACAGAAAAGAATTGAGGTTGAGGGCGAGTCTGCCGCTGATTGGCTGCTGCAGAGCGGAGCTGGCCTCTGATTGGCTGGTGGGACTGAGAGGCAGGTAGAGGCCCACCTCACCTGCAAGCGAACAAAAAAGACGGCGTTGAAGGCACCATGATGACACAGGGACACAGGCGGTTGTGAGGGTTTTACGTCTGCCTTTAGATTATGGAAAATATGACATTTATAAAAATCTGTGGGGGGTAAAAGTTGGTGGGATGATGGGACTTGATGCATGGCTGCACAGCTTCATAGTTGGCCTCCCACATCAACAGGTTTTCTTCCTCCCGCAGCCACAGATTTAACCTTTTCCCCCTCTAAATTTTCATAATGACTTGTCTGTGTGTGTGTGTGTGTGTCGTGTGTTGCTGTGTGTGTGTGTGTGTGTTTCAGGTAATCTCAGAGCAGACAGAAGGCAGGGAGGAGCCCTGTCATTAGCTGATACAATGCCATTGTCCCCCTTAATGAAGCCATTGTATCAGGAGATCCCAGTGTTTGGGATTACTCTGCCAGAGCAAACAATGTGTGTGTGTCTGTGTATGTGT